AATGCTCTCATTCAGTTGTGTCTTTTGGGGTGTGCACCATGCTCAGACCCCTCCTGTATTAACTCTGGGATGGGTCACGTGATCTGTGTTAGCCAATGGGACATCAATACATGTGATGTCAGCGGAGGCCTTCAAAGACCTTGGCATGTGGGCCACCTTCTTGTTTTACAATTTTTGAAACCAAACTCCATGAGAAGAAGTCAGACCAGGCTGTGGAGATCCATACTCCAGTGGACAGCCAGCATTGACCACCGGACACATGACAGAGGTCATCTTAAACTGTCCAGTAACAGGCAAGGCTCTGGATTAGTGCTGCCCAGTAGAAATAACAGTGATGATGGAAATGTTCTATAATTGCACTGTTTTCAGGGCATCTTCCACTCCCATGTAACTAGTGAGCGCCTGAAACATGACCAGTGTGGCTGAGGATCAGACATTTTATTTTCTTAAATTAATTCATAATTAAAATTAAATAACTACAGGTAGCCAGTGGCTAGAGGACCAGAGGACCTCTCTTTGTAAGCAAGATGAGCAAAACAAATGTTTTGCTGACTGCAGTCTACATCCTGAAGCACAAAGGAAATGGCTGTTGTTTTAAGTCACTAAACTTTGGAGTCATTTGTTTATCAGTCGGTTACCATCGGTTTATCAGTCGATAACTGATCCCCCATCTACAAGTACATAATTTAAAAATCTGACATTGTAGAAAAATTTATGTCTAATAGTTATGTTACTTCAATATAAAAAATCACCACTTATTCCATTTTTAGATTCTAATTTGAAATCCTATAAATTCTTACATAAAGGAATTTATTTCCATCCTCCTGAAACTCTATATGCTCTCCTGAAAGTCAAATGGCACCCACTCTTTGGTCAAACAAAATACATTTGGTCCAGAAAGCAGCAATGGAATCTAGGCAAGAAACTTATGATCAGAGTATATTCATTATTGAGAAAGCATTAGGACCACATAGTCATAATCCCAGACCCATCTCTCATAGCTTCACACTCCAAGTTTAACATCTTGGAATCAAGTGCTAAAGTGAAAATAAAATGAATATAACTGTGAAATGAGATCATATACAAGGTAAATAATTAAAGCATAAAATTCAGGTGGAAGACTGCCCAGCAGCTTCTGTCTAGGACTAAGTCATCTTAGTCCTAGAGCAGGGTTGCCTGCAGATCTCTGTTCACTCCTGGCTCCCAGGGGGTCAGCTACTGATATTAAGCGAGAGACCCATTCAAGGCACAGAGACCGTTCTTCCTACAGAATCCTCTCAGGACCACTGCACAGCAAGTGGAATGAAGCAGACTGCCCCTGCGGCAACCAATCCTCAGGAAGGGCTGGCACAGAACATTTAACAGAAGGCTTTCTGTATTCGTCTGTTCTCATGCTGCTAATAACAACATACCCAAGACTGGGTACCTTACAAAGGAAAAAGGTTTAATCGACTCACAGTTCCACATGGCTGTGGAGGCCTCACAATCATGGCAGATGGCAAGGAAGAGCAAAGGCACATTTTACACAGCAGCAGGCAAGAGGGCATGTGTGGAGGGACTCCTCTTTATAAAACCATCAGATCTCATGAGACTTATTTACTATCACGAGAAAAGCACAGATGACCCCACCCCCATGATTCAATCACTTCCAATCGGGTTTCTCCCACAACACGTGGGGATTATGGGAGCTACAATTCAAGGTGAGATTTGGATGGGGACAGAGCGAAACCATTATCACCCTCCTTCCCTCAGCCCATCCTAAGCTGAGCTGAGGGAGCAGTCCCCAGGGTCAAGAGCCACAGGAACTGGGAGGCACCTGGCCTGTGGGTGGGGCACTTGCTTTGAGCCTCAGTTTCCCCATTCATAAGGTGAGAGGAGGCCTCATGCCTGCTCATCCATAGGTTTGCCTTAGGGTTGAAAAAGGAAAGTGAGCAAATGCTTCAAAGTACAGTGTGTTTCTGCTTTTTGAGATCCCAATCCAAGGCAAGCCCCAAAGGGCAGGACCAGGACCAATGTCAGGAAGCCACAGGTAAATCGAGAGTGTGTGACTCAACATGAGGAAGAACTGCCTTTCCCATTGTCTCATGGATAGAAGGAATAATGTTTTCTCTGTCAGGGGAGGCACTGAAGACACTGGTGAGGATCAGCCTGGCCCTTATGGTTAGATAAAACATAAAAATAATTCTTACAGAGAATTTGAAACTTGACTTTGGGCACTCTCCAGGGACACTTTGGTCGTGGAGGTAGTTGGTCTTCAACTCAGACATAAACATCTTCTTGAGTGTCTTCTTGGCTCTTAGGGGATAATATCAGTCACAGACATCAGATAGGGCCACAGGCTGTGGCACACAGCTTGAGGGTGCATGTGTATGGCGCCCCCTAGAGTTGCTCTAGCCACAACTATCAACAATAATAATGACATCCAAAGGCACAGCTCTGAACCCACATTTCAAACATGCACTGTAGTGCCGCCTAACAGGATGCCAGAGAGGGACTCTCACATCTGAGGAGAATTGGATCAGGCATTCTTGGACCTCTTTCATCTCTAGGAGTCAGTGCTTGCACGATCGCTCACACGTGGAGCCTGGAGCCTCACTATGACTCACAGGTTCACCTTCTGATGATGCATGTGGAACTGGCAGGTGTTCCTGATCAGGGAGAGGAACCTGATTTTCCCAGCAGCGCTAAGCTGTGAGCAGTGACAGCTTTTCTAATGTTCTCAGATAGCATATCTTTCCTGGCATTTGCCCCTGAAGAAGGGCATGGAAAGGAGCAGTAACATCCCAAGCACCTGCCGAGACCTGAGTCAGTCTGGCTGACCACCTGAGGCTGTGGATAACACACGCATCACTCAGAGCAGAAAGGCATGGCTGTGTGTCATAGCTAATTGAGGCTAAGAGAGAACATGCAAGTTTCAACAATGGAGCTATGTAAATTGGAAAATACCTCTGGCTTTCCCATTAATTCTTCTCTTTGCATTTCATGGAATGTGGTAAGTGAAAAATCCATGTGATCACCGAGCCACAGTCCTGGAAGAGATTGCCCAGCCTATGCTGGGCAAAATCAAATATAGTCATGAGCTGAGTAACGACATTTGGGTCAATGACAGACCATATATACAATGCTATAGCCTAAGTGCATAATAGGTGGTACCACTAGGTCTATGTAAGTACACTTTGTGACATTCTCACAATGACAAAATTGCCTAACAAGGTATTTCTTGGAATGTATCCCCATCATTAAACAACCCGCAACTGTACTACTATATGCACAGCTACCTGTGTGTGAGCTAATCATTCAGCAAGAGCTGGCCAAATATGTTTCAGAACTAAGCCTCTTCTCCATGACAGATGGTGCAAAACTTCAAAACTTTAATTACTGCAATAATTAAAAATGTAATAGCCCCATTTCCCATTGCATAGATTATCAAAGATTTCAATGCCTCACCTTTTTATAGTATAGCCACAAGTTCAATTAATCAAATTAATTTAATTTAAATTTTATTTCTTTAAATTTAATTGAAAGAAAATTAAACAATCTTCTTTTGTTTATGAAATATGTTTTCTTGTGAAAAAAGAAAAAGACTATTGTGAGTAAATACTCTTTCAGATAAGACTTCAGAAAGAAGAGTAATTTTTCCACAGACTCCCATATTGAACTAGGAGTAAATAAAAATAATTGTACTGCTTTAGATAGAAATAATACAAATACAATTTTGGGGGTAGATGTTTGTATAAATGTGCAGACAATATTTATTCAGAGTTGAAAGGAAGCAAAAATGATTCTACGGTCGTGCTTGCCGTCCTGCCTATGCTCCGCGCAATGCTGTTCAACAGCGGCTGGTGTTCTTTCTATTGACATCAAAGTTATTCTCATGAAATTGTTCTCAAACTTTAGCTATTTAAACTGAGCAATTAAATGACTTTTATGATTTTGTTGGACTAGGGATGTTCAATTATCTCACTGTCAAAAACTCATTATATTCTTTCATATATTTTGTTTAAAAATTTTTCAGTTTATTTGAAGAAGTGAAATCATTAATTCTGAAAAAAAAACCCCACAATCCATGTTGACTTTTTATGTGATTCGTTGAGTGAAGCCTTTACACTTCTAACTAGTTTTAAAAATATCTTCAGCTATGGAATTACGTAAATTGAAAAAAAGGTAGTACTTTTATACTTAAACCTGTTGAGGGTATTAAAGAAATAATTGAGGAATAATATATCACTCTAAGTATCAACAATAGTAGTAAAAGGGACAATATTACCTATAAACAGAAAAAGAAATTTTGACACAAAGTGGATAATTATTACGGCATTTGCTGAGCCTACCTTTGAAATGGATTTCACACCTTAAGAATTCTTTACTTTTTTATGGGTGTGACTAATACTCTTCCAGCCTGGAAACAAGGAGACCATCAAGTGCAATGTTGAAGATAAAGTGAATGAAAGTCGACATGGATGGTTTCTTTTTGGCAGTGGGCAACATTTTAAAAGTTGAATAAGAGATGCAATGTAATCCCAAAGAATGGAAAAGCAACTTCAGTCATAGAAAGTGATATTACGCTCCCCAAAAAATCAAATCTGAAGAGCAATTTTCAGAATTGGTAACTTTATGCTAGTACATGGACAGCATACAGTTCATAAAGCTAATATTGATCATTTTCTTAGTAATGCATAGTCATTAGGCAAAGAAAAAAAAAAGAGACAAAGGTGGACTTGATTGCCTCAGAAGATACACTTCAATGGAATGGAAAACACACTGTTTCTGCAAGGAATTTTATGAGTGAACTCTGCAAAAAAAAAAAAAAAAAAAAAAAAAGGAATTGATAAGGGAAGCCAAATCGTCAGGAAGATGTAATTAAAGAGGTAACAAAAATTTATAATTTATTTCAGATAGATAAAAGTAGTTGTGAGTATAAATGTGTCCCATGCAAGATATGTTTAATCTTAATGAATGCCTGCATAAGCAATGCTCCTTTCCCAGCTCCTCAGGCTTACCTGCTGCCCTTTGCTCTCTTTCTGGTGGGTCTGCCTGGGACGCTCCACCTGCGGAGAGCTTCAGAATGCCCTCTCTGGTCTCTTTCAAGTGTTTGCTCCAGTCTCAGCTTCCTGTGAGAACGAATCAGATCATTTCTAGCCAATGTGCCTCCCTCCAGCCCAGCCTCACTCATGGACTAAACCTCTTATCTGGCTCTATGTTTTCATCTTACCCTTTCTTTTCCTTTTTACTCATCTGTTCTAAATACCGTGTAATTCCTTCATGCATTACTCTGATCATTTGGGGGCATTTTTCCCCTGTTAGAATCTAAACTATAAAAAGTGGGGATGACTTTTGTTCAATAATGTGTTCCATGTGTTGGAGGCTCCTCCAACAAGCGCTTTTACAAAACAGGTGCTCAGTAAAAATGTGTTCGAGAACACATTGATATAACAGGTAAGATATAAATGCAAGGTCCCAAGCTTTAACATCAGCACACAATTGAGTGGGTTCATGTAGGTGTGCAGGAAAGGAAACCCACAGTGCCAAGACTCTGACATGCTGCATCACTGCCAGCAGAGACGGGAGACACCGACTGATACGGTTTGGCTGTGTGTCCCCACTCAAATCTCATCTCGAATTGTAATCCTCACATGTTGAGGGAGGGAGGTGATTAGATCATGGGGGTGTTTTCCCCCATGCTGTTCTCATGATAGCGAGTGAAGTCTCATGAGATCTGATAGTTTTAAAAGTGGCCATTTTTTTTCTGCTTCTCACTTCTGTCTCCTGCAGCCTTGTGAAGAAGGTGGCTGCTTCCCCTTCTGCCATTGCCATGTCTGTAAGTTTTCTGAGGCCTGCCCAGCCATGCAGAACTGTGAGTCAATTACAACTCTTTCCTTTATAAATTACCCAGTCTTGGTAATATGTGCAAATGAACTAATACATTTTATAAATGTATAAACTTATGCATTTATGAATCACCCACCTTGATAGGTGTGAGAATGGACTAATACACTGACAATAGCGATGCCAGGGTTCAGGGTCTTTCTGTTGCTCAGTAAAGATGAAACACGGTTGCTGAACACTCATACACCACACATAAGGTCAACTTCAGCATCTCCTTTCATGAAGTGTGTGCTGTGGACCTTTCTCTCTCACTTTCTCCCACTCTTCAGAGCGTGGGAGTGCCTGAATGTTTTAGAGTAACAAGTGAAGAATGTATTAGGTGGGGGAAAAAGTTTCTTTCCTGTAATTGTTCAGGAATCTACTTCCCAGGTCAGAGGGAATATGCATTTTTGTAATACTGGGTTTTTTTCTTTGTTTTATTATAATAAAAATGAAAACATTAATTGATTAAATCACAAAGAACTCTCAAACACTTGCCCATGTCAAGAAACAAAGTTGAGTGATACCATTTTCTTTCAAATTTTACAGAAACTTTAATTCCTTAAGAAATTAAATAATATTCTGGTTTCTGACCAAGTAGAGGAAACATAAATGTCAGTCCTCCCCCAGAAAAGCAGATTTGGCTTTAATTTGGTGCGCTAATGGCAAAAATCCCATGAGAAAACCTGTTTTTTCTTTGCCCTTTTAGAGCAATCAAAACTCGAAACAACAGCAGACTTAAATCTTGATGACCTATATCCCAGCCCAACCCCTAACCATTGGCACGCTGCATCCAAATCTGTCCTTTATTTTCTTGTGTCCAGGAGGAAGATTCCAAGAGGAGACCAGATGTCAGATAGAGAGATTTATGAGAACTATCGAGAGAGAGCTATGATAACCAGTCTCTTAATAATTCACAAATTAATTGCAAGCCTAAAATGTATTTATCTCGCCTTGCCTATAAGGTAACTGTGGAAATAGAGATAATGGAAAACAAAGTGAGTTATAGTAGTTTCCAAGAAAATACCACACTTTTCCCTTCTAGCCCTGATGACCTGAATGCTGAAAAGGAACCCACAGCAGTGTGGATAGAAGAAGTTCAGAAAGAAGGTCAAGCAGGGAAGCACAGACAGGAGGACAAGGTGTGGCAGTTGGGACAATAAACCCTAAGACTGGGTCAAAGCAACTAATCCCTCCTCACACATGCACATAGACTCCACGTTGCCAGAAGAAGCAGGTAGGAATCCGATTTCTAGTCAAGTTGCTGAGCAAAGCTGGAGGAAGATGGTGGCAGATCCTGATGAAGAAGTGGAAGGAGCTGGACAAGGCTGAGCAGCCACCCAGGAGGCCCTGCAGGAGCAGAGTCCTTTACAGTCATGCTGTAAGCAAGTCCAGGAACAACTGGCCCTGCTGTCCTCCCATCACCAAGAGTAGGCCATTATTTTTGTAAACATATCATAGACCCACCCACATCTTTCCAGTCCTGGTCGGGGCCCTTGCATTCTCTTGTATGAGCAATTAACAGCCTTTGAATGGAGCCCCTAACTGCAAGGGCCCCCAACTTCAGATATCCCCTCCCTGCTGTTTCCAGCGTCCATCCTCCCTATGCACAGCTACTAAAGCCATTCTTAAGGTTGACCTATGTCAGAGCCCAGATTCCTGACAGTCCTGTAGACTCCACAGGCCTGGGGAGGGGCCCAAGAACTGGCATTTCTAAAAGGTTCCCAGTTGAGGCTGATGTTGCTGGACTGGTGACCACATTTTCAGGAAGACTGAGCAGCCAAGAGACCAAACCATTAGCACAGAGTTCAGAGAAAAGATTGAGGTCCTCAGGATGCACACACCCAAAACCCAATCCTAGAGTTGAAAGCAAGGTCAGTGCCCTAACAGGAGCAATAGCAGGATCGATGGAACATAGGGTCCACCCCAAACCAATCCATTTGTTGAGAAAATAAATGAGAGAGGGATTTTCTGAAATGAATTGGTGGTAAAGAAAGGTAATCCTATTTCTGATGGAGAGCATGCAAGTCCATTGGGAGAGCAAGTCCCTTCCTGGAGCCCAAGCTCCAGGAAGACTCAGCTCAATGGCTCCTGGGCTCTGAGGATCCCTCCTGCCACTTATTCTTCATCATGATGTGTTCATGTTTTTCTGCATCCTTAGACTTTGAGTGTGAGTGAGCAGAGACCATTTTGCATTCACTGCAGAAGAGGAGGATGATGTAAAGATGGATAAGCCCAGTCACCAGGGGACCATGGGTGTCAGGCTGGCAGCTATGAGCCAGAGTGCTTCACTAGCTCAGCAAATATTTATGTAGTTCCTACAGTGTGCCAGCTGCCTTTATCCTAAGTGCCGGGAGTATAACAGTGAACACAGCAAAGTCTGCACCCCAGTTGGGAGGAACTCATGATCACATGTGAAAGAAAGCATGACAGCAGATAGGACACAGAGAGGAAGTGGATGGGATGGGGCCTTGATGGATGCTCAGACATGAGGACAGACACCTCCTTGACTGACACAGAAAGAAGGCTGAGCTCATCTGCAATAAAAACACCAAGAAAGAAAATATGAAGGTCACAGAAGGATTATAAGTTTGCATCTGTCCGTCTGAGGTAGCAGCAGAGCCACTGAGTCCAGGACCAGGACTTGGTGTCCCTGAGCTGGGGAGTGAGCAGTGAGGGACAGAGTCAGCCTGCTGCCACCATCCCACCCTGACAGAGAGTGCCGCTCCATGGAAACAAAGGGTATGTGCTTGACCCCAGGTGGGAAGAGGCAGAATCAAGCAGCTTAAAAAGTCCTTGGGAGCAGAATTCCTGCACTTGGCTCCTGTCCCAGAGTTACTTCTAAGCTGGGCCACTTTCACCAGGTGCATGAATCCACATCAGAAGATCGGGGGATTCCCCATAAAGAGTATGCTAAATGTATTTCCCTAGCTGACACCCAGAGCCTTCTCCAAATAGCCAGCATCTCTATGTCAGGAACTGCTGGGCTTCAGCATGAGTGGGGATTCAAGTTCTGGGCTCGCTGCATCCTGGCATCACACCCAAGCCCCACCCACACCCACCTCATCTCAGCTGCCCAGTGCTCACTACCTTGGCTGACTCAATCCCTCTTCTAGAGACAATGCATCCCTTAATGAGATAGCCAGGTGGGGAGGGGTCCCCAGAGAAACTCCAACCAGTCTGTGCACTAGGGAGGAGCCACAGAAGTTCTGTGCTGTCTGCAGCAGGGAGAAGCCTGGCCCCTCCTCTTCATGGGTGAAACCTGGGATTCAGTCTGTGAGGTGGGAAGTGCACAGGCAGAAAGCACACTTCCTCGCTTCGCTAAGAGTATCTGTTTCCCCTTTTTTTTCCTTTTTGCCCAATAAATCCCATTTTTCTCACTCTTCAAATCATCTACAAACCTAAATGTTCCTGGCTGTGTGACAAGGACCCTGTCTTTGACTGAGCTAAGGAAAAGTCTCGCAACATTAGCATTCCCTCCAAATGTGCCTGTGGATTTGTACATTCTGTTTCTCTTGCCATGATATCCCTTGTGCCTAACTCTGTCTGGCAGGGAGTGAGTGTTTAATAAATAGATAAGAAAATAATTTTACAGGAAGGGAGAGGGGAAGGAGGGATGACAAGCTCACTAGCATTCAAATAAAGTCACAGCAAGGACTTGGTGGGGTGTTGTGAGGATCCAAGCCCACTGGATAAATGAATACAAGATACGAATGTCCCCTTCCAGCCTCGTTTATTACATCTTTGACTTAAGCCCTAGGTGTTGAGCATTTTTCTGGCACTCTCTCTGGAGAATTGCCTGCAGATTCGGTTGCATGGCAGATTCAGCAGACTTCACACGCTGAGCTCTGTGCCGGGACCTGGCTGTTTTCTGGCTCAATCCTCTCAGCACCCCTAGAAGTGGGGTTTGGTATTCCTGCTGTGAAGATGAGGAAACAAGACAGAATTTAGGAGATGGCCCCAACCTGGCAGCTAGTGGCACCCAGTCCTGAGCTCCAGCCTGCCCTCTGGGCCCAGAACTCCTTTGGTGCCTGTGGTGTGACTGTGATTGCCTTGTGAGGTGGGGCTTACTATGTAGAAAGAGCCAAAAGTATTCAGCGAGAGATCTATGGTCCCGTATGGTGACTATACTTAATAACAGCATACTGTGCATTTCAACATTACTGACAGAGTAGATTTGAAAAGCTTTCACCACAAATAAATGTTGACTATGTAAGCTAATGTATATGCTAATTAGCTGAATTTAGCACTTCCACAATGTGTACATATTTCGAAACATCATTTTGTACACCATATATTTATACAATTTTACTTGTCAAATACAAATAAGTAATAAGAACAAAAGTTTTAAGAACTGTCGTAAAATGAAATCAAGCCATTTCTGCTACCGGACAGACTCGCCTTCCACGCTCCATGCCTCTTCTTTACTCCTGACTAAAACTAACTCCCTGGACTCAAACCTTTGCTCCGGCGACCTTCACCGTACCCTGCCCATCAGCCCTTGGTGGCCCCTTCAACAGCAGGGTCTGGGCCATCAGACCCTCGGCCTTCCTACTGTGACCTCTGCCTGCCAACTTGTCCTGACGTCTCCCAAAGTGAAAATGCTCATGGGCCGAATTTGGCCCCAGTCCAGGGCCTCAGCTTGGCAGCATGAGCAGGGCCAGAGCTCTGGGTGCCCGAGTCATGCGTCATCCACAAGCAAGGGCACTGCTCATGCTCCCGTTGCCAGTGGGCAAGCCAGGGCAGGACTCGATGTTATTTGTCCCATTAATCATGATCTTGGAGAAAAAAAAAAATCTTGAGATGGCTATTTCAGCACACCACGTAGTAACTGAATGTCAGTCACATCAATCCATTTTCAGACAACAAAGGAGGCAAATTTGAAGAAGCAGAGTAAGTACTTTGCACCATGTGGCTGTTGTTCACAGATAGCCAGATGTTAATTAAAGAAGGAAAAGACTGAAATCACTCTATTACTCTGATTAATCCTTCACTCCTGTTTGCAGATTAAATGGTCAATACATTCTATCACTGCATTGATTCAAACTATGGGTCCAGGGACCCTCTTCCTCAAGCCTTCTAGACAGGATTTTAGTCATCTAAATTGTAACTAAATTTAGTTTGTCTTGTATCTGTATTTGTTCTTTCTTCACTCTTGGCAACCAACATAGACCTTGTTCTTAAGGAGTGAGAGGGGGCAGAACCTTTTTTTTTTTTTTTTTTTTTCCTTAGTCAACATTGTATTTCCTCAGGTATCAAACACATAAAGTGAACACAAAGGGATAGTACAGATTTTGGAATTA